TGCAACAGTTTTTAAAGCGAATGTGAATAATAATGCATCACCTTATACATTGAATTTTAGAAGGGGAGGTGATGAACCAAGAAACCAAAATGTACAAGTGAATGATCAGAATCGCAACGTTCAAAGACCAGTTAGAAATAGTGTGTTGCCTAGAAAATTTGAAAATTTTATAATGAATTAAATTTGATAATAAATTTTTTTTTCTCTTCCTTATATTAAAACAAAATTAGTTTTTTTTGTGTGTGGAACTAAATTGATATAACGTACAACAAAAAAAAAAGATCAACGAAGGGGTTAACGAGCAAGAATGACAAACGACAAAAATTATAGACAGAGGGCAAATATGAAATAAAAAAAAGAAGTGTGAAATGTTAAACAGTGATACTCATGTATTTTATCTTAACTTTAAAATATTGTTTTTTTTACATCCTTAAGCTATTTATGGCGTAACTTAAAATATTTCAAATGTAATAAGAATTGTTTCTTTCTTTTTGTTAAAAAACAACTTTTATATTTTAAAAAATAAATTTGATTATAAACTAATATTAAATTTTATATTTTATATTTTATAAATCAATTTACTTAAAAAACGAATGTTCAATTTTATATTTTAACTTTAAAAAGATCAATTTATTATAAACTAAATTATCAATATATATAGGAAACTATTTTGAATTACGTGATCATTATATTTTTTAAATTTAAATATCAATAAATTGACTTAAAAATTATATTCTTGAAGTCTGCACCATTAGAAAACTTTAGAAATTTCAACCAATCTCTTTTGCAACATACATCGGTAGGATACTATACCTTGATCCGGTATCAATCTGCATCAAAATAGGCATGTCGTTCAAATATACCGTGACCTTATAAGCATCGTTAGCTGTGTAATTATTATCGGCATCCATATTGTTTATGTCTAAATTGTATAAATTATATTCTTTTCTTTCTAGTTTGTCATTATCATCTTCTTTTATCTCTTCTATATTTACAGTGTTTACTTTATTTGTATATCGTGATTGATTATTGTCGTTGTTATGATATTTACAATTGCACATTTGATTTGTTCCTCGATTTCCAATATTATGATTATCGTTATATCTTTGAATACATCTTGAATCGTTATAATGTCTGTTATATCTGTAATTATAATCATTATTAAATCTATTATTATTATAGTCATTTTTATTATAACTAACTCTATTATCATATCTCGAAGAATTATTGTATAATCCTGGGTAATTTGCCCTAACGTTATTGTAGTTACCCGCATTATAGTTCTGATGTCTAGGGTTGTAATTATTACCCTGATAATTATTTCTTTGAAAGTTGTTGTTTCTCGTAGTCCATAGTTGTCTGTTATCGTTATTCGATCGTGGATTATGTCTATCGTCGTATCTGACCACCTGTTTGTTTTCTTCAACTTTCATGCCTCTTTGTCTTTCCAAATGTTTTACGCTTGTTTCTTCTTCAGTCTTTTCACTTAAAGAAATGTTTTCAACTTTAGCTATATTTTCTTTTAATTCTGTCTCCTCAAAATCATCTCTTAAACTAAAGACTTCTGCTAACGCAATATTCTCTTTCAACGTAATTTTCTGCCTGATACTTTATTTGATAAAATTTTTACCTTTTCAATGACTCTACTATCGCTTAACGAACATTCATTTTGTAAAATACATAATCTACTTACCCAATTGATGTAACTTTTACTTTTACCTTGTACAGCTGCATTGAATAATAACAATTTCGAACTTGTAGATTTCCTCGGGTGTAATAACCTAAATTTTTCAATCAATATCGATGGATTGATGAAATCGGTAGGTGAACATATCGATTTGAGCTTAATGTATTCTTCGTCTGGTAGTCTTCTTGTGAAGGATCCTGCTTTTTCGATATCAGAGATCTGAGCATCGTTGAATATGTCTTCGAAACGACTTAGAAAAACATCGCCATTACCTGTGTATGTTGGAAATTCAATATTAATATTAACGTTATTATTTGAGATCTGTTTCATAATTTATAATTTACAATATTGAATTTTTCTATTTTATAGTATTGGATTTTATAAAAATTTTAAATTTAATATTTTAGAAAATTTTAATTTAGGATACGCTACCACCATGAAATTTCTAAAGTTTTCTAATGGTGCAGACTTCAAGAATATAATTTTTAAGTCAATTTATTGATATTTAAATTTAAAAAATATAATGATCACATAATTCAAAATAGTTTCCTATATATATTGATAATTTAGTTTATAATAAATTGATCTTTTTAAAGTTAAAATATAAAATTGAACATTCGTTTTTTAAGTAAATTGATTTATAAAATATAAAATTTAATATTAGTTTATAAGCAAATTGATTTTTTAAAATATAAAAGTTGTTTTTAACAAAAAGAAAGAAACAATTCTTATTACATTTGAAATATTTTAAGTTACGCCATAAATAGCTTAAGGATGTAAAAAAAACAATTTTTTAAAGTTAAGATAAAATACATGAGTGTCACTGTTTAACAACAATTATCATTTTTCTATAGTACATCTTCACTGAAATTTTAATATAACATGTTTACAATATATAAATTTACCTATTTACTTTAAAAATATTCAAAAAAGTTGACAAATAACAATGATGACAATTATCACTTTTCTATAATAGATCTTCACTGAAATTTTAATTTAACATGTTTATAATTTATTATTTTACCCTGTTGCTTCAAAAAAGTTCAAAAATAACGATTATGGCAATTGTCACTTATCTATAGTACATCTTTATTAAATTTTTGTTTTAAAATGTTAGCAGTACTTATTTTGCCCATTTGCGTCAAAAATATTTAAAAAAACTTTTAAAATATCGATTATGAAAATTTTATTTTTATATGGTACATCTTAATTAAAATTTTAATTCAACATGTTAAAAATATATATTTTTGCCCATTACCGTCAGAAATCTATGTTTAATAATATCGATCATGATAATTGTCATTTTTCCAGGGAACAACTTAATTGAATTTATAATTTGGCATCTTTATAATATTAATAATTATTTTACCTGTCAAAAATTTCAAAACTGTAAAAAAAAACGAATATGACAATTGTCACATTAAAATAATATCAATAAGAATATGTTATAAAATAACATAAAAAAGTTTAATAAAAATATAACAAAAATTATTTAGAAAAGCCACCTCTTTTAATATACTTAAAAAAATAATTTTACAACATGATTTAAAAAAAACTATAAGAGGTTTAACCTAAAAGATTGCTTATTTATAATAAAGGTCACAAAAGAATTTCTCAAAAAAGATTTATTTACAAAGAAGATTTAAAATTCTTATCAAATCAAATATGTTCAAATATCTTTTGAACTTTAAAAGATATTTTTATGCTTAAAATTTTAGGCGTGATAATCACTAATAAATTGTAACATAAATAATATTACAATACAGCATATGATTTTTTAAAATAAAAATACATCAAATAAATCAATTTTTTTTTCGATTTCATAATAATAATAAAAAAAATTATTAAATCATATATGTTTTTTTGTTGATAATAATAAAATATTAATATTAAATTTTAATAAAATTAATTTACTATAAATAAATAAATAATATTTAATGCTTTGTGGAACAATAATTCTGCATAATAATATACTTAAAATGTTCACTTATAAAAAAATATTCGGCTCTAAATTAAACTCATGCTAGTCCTGAGCCGGTTTGAGCCAAATTCTGAGCCTTCCGATTCATCTGTCTCAATGCTTGAACATGAGTCAATTTTTTGACTAAAAAATTTGCTGAGTTTAGGGTTAAACCAACTTGGCTCAGCAGTTTAACAATACTAATCAAAAATAAATAAATTTCAACTCAAAAATCGGCTTGAGTTAATTCCTGAGCCGGGTTATTAATTTCATGTTATCAAAATTTCCACCAAATTAAATCTAAAATCCATAAAGTCGAATTCGGATCCAGAACTATTCTTAGTTTCGACCAATAATAAATATGATTCGTTAGTCTAGGTATTATTATATGTCATTGGTTTCGAAAAAAATATTCTTATTATAATTTTTGTTCAATTAATTAATAATCCAAAATTTAGCAATTTACCAGACATTTGAGTTAGCCGTATATAAAAATCGACTCTAATGGAGTCGTTTTACATAACACATGTAAAAAATAAATATCAAAAATTATAATTTACTGATAAATAAAAAAACCTATGAAAATTGATCCAACCCAGTGAGTCGACTATGAGCCGACTAAGCGAGCTGACTAAGTAAGCCGACCAATGATATTATATATCATTGAAGCCGACTATGTGAGCTTAAGCCTACTAAGTGAGCCGACTAAGTGATCCTACTAAGTGAGCCGAATAAGTGAATTTAGTCTGCTCATGCGACTCCTTAATCGGCTTGAGTCGGTCGTTTATTACGACTACGACTAGAGTTACAAGTCATAAGAACTCGACCAGAGTTGTACATGAAGATCTTTTATTTATAAAAAAATTTGAGCAACGATCTTAAAAGATCTAGATCTTTGAAGATCGTAAATTTTGAAGATCTTTTATTTTTTAAAAATTTTGTGTAACGATCTTCAAAGATCTTCATGATATTTATTTTTTTATCCCTTTATTAAAAGCCCAGATGTTTTTCAATTTTATTTTTTATACCTCTCCTCCTGCCTTGATGAAAATTGAAAAACACCTGGCTTTTAATAAAGGGGTAAAAAAATAAATATCATGAAGATCTTTGAAGATCGTTACACAAATTTTTTAAAAAATATAAGATCTTCAAATTTTACAATCTTCAAAGATCTAGATATTTTAAGATCGTTGCTCAAATTTTTTTATAAATAAAAGATCTTCAAATTTTACGATCTTCAAAGATCTTGCTCAAATTTTTGAGCTAGATCTCGCTCAAAAATCTTCAAAGAAGATCTTTTGTACAACTCTGAACTCGACTTTATAACAACACTACAACAATTGATATAAAAAATTAAATGTTAATTTATTTCAGACATTCATTTATAATATGGAAGAAGTAGCTGTTGTTTTACCGAAAAGAGTTTTTAAGAATTATTGATTATATAATTTAACCAAATTTAGATAGATGAGTTTTCAAATATACTTTCAACTCATGTTACACCTGGTGGTTATGAAACCCTTGATACCGAAGATTTATATGCCAAATATAAAGTATAACAACCTTATATAAATGTTAATATTTTTAACCATATAATTAACCACCTCGATAAGATTTTCATGAAAGCTTTCAGCTTATTCCACTTATAATTTTGCCAGGATCCATTTATTAAAATATTTATTTAAGTGCCTGGCCTGTTTTATTAAGGAAATAATATGAATTTGCTTGCAAGTTTAAAATATGGCATGTAAAAATTTTAGCCTATGTAGATCTCTAAATTACATACTCTATATTTACAAAACATTTTATGAATATTTTTTTAGAAACTTCAAAAACATTTAGAGTTTTTAGAAGTACAAGAGGAATATATTAAAGAGGAACAAAAAAATCTAAAGAAAGAATATCTGCATGCCCAAGAAGAAGTTAAAAGAATAAAAAGTGTCCCTTTAGTTATAGGGCAATTTTTAGAGGCCATTGATCAAAATACAGGAATAGTAGGATCTACAACAGGTATTTTATTAACTTATTTCTAATAATTACAAAAAAATAATTCAATTTTTGCAAAATAAATTAATTTATACCCTTTTTATAGATATATCAGAATTATTCTATAAAATGCAGAATATTTTAAAATGACCAATGAGATATAATAATTAATTTTAGTTGTATAAAAATATATTTAAAAGCTTTTTAAAAATTTACCATATTTTAGGTCCTTTATTTTTTAATCATTTTTAAATAAATATATATTTCTTATATATCTCTGCAGAGACGACACTTGTATAATGTCCTTTTTTTATATTTAGCCAGGGCAGATTTTTTAAAAATTTTAATTGTTCAGGCCTGATATACAGAGATAGAATTTAATAATTAATTAATAACATATTTTTGTTTTGTTTTGTCCAATTATTGAGATACTTGTTTCTATAGTAATTAATAAATTTGCCATAATTTTTTTTTCATAGACCTATTTTTTATTATTTCCTTAGCAATAATTTTGAAATGAGACAACTAAATATTTCTTAGTTTTTTTCATCATTACAAGTGCTGTAAACATTTTAAAAAATTGAATGTGTTCATATGTCCATTGATAAAAATCAAACTCATGTTTACCTTCAAAAAAAGGCACATTCATTTAAAATTATGAATATATTGTTTTAAATTTTATTTATATAAAAATATATTATTAATTTTTAATTTATTAACACTTTTATATATCTAAAAAATTTAATTATTTATAAAATATAAAATTTATAATAAATACAATTTCTATCATTATTGAGTAATGCTTATTTTTTATCGTAGGTTTTTTTTTTGAACTTGAAGATCTTATAAACCACCATAATTAAAATAATCTTCTATTGAACAAAATTGTTAACTGGTATATCTAAATATTTATTTATTTATATACAAATTTACAATCTATTAAAATGTATAAATATAAACGAATCTATTTAATTTACATATTATAAAATGCAAATTAATTTGCTTAACATTATAATCGACATCAAAATAAAATAATTCTTTATTAATGGTAACAAACAAATAATATATAAACCCAAAGGCCTAATAATTAAATGAGCTATTTACGATAATAATAATATTGATGTTTATTGAGGCAAAAACACCTTTGGCTAAAAAATTTAAGTGCATTGAGAACTCCGCCATAGATTAAAAAATTTGAAATATAAATTGAGGGGCTAAAGATTATATTTTAAGTTAGGACTACAGAAATACGAATCAAATAATTACATTATTATTATATTCATACAAATCTATTTATACTAATTATAAAATTACTCTATTTGTCAAATAATTAAAAAAATTTTTTTAATGTTTTCTTAAAGTAAAATAAAAATAGATTTTTAAATTTAAAAAAAATGACTAGATGTGGAAATAAATTTAAAAAATTTATTACAGTTAAGGAATTTATTGCTCTACTGGACATTTAAAAAAGAATTGGGTTATAATAAATTCTTCCTTCATTTTGGTCAATTGAATTTAACGAAAATATCTTTAAAATCGATTTTCTCATTTTTGATAAAAGAAAGTCTTAAATAGAGAACTCCAATAAGTCGACTATTTCTATTTTCACGCTTAATTCAATTAAAAAAATGATTTATAGCTCATAGTGTTGCTTTTCAAAACTTAGCTAATTATATAGCAAGACAACACTATGTTTTTTAAAAATGTTACTATTTCTCTGAAAAAGGATACTTGTGACAAAAAGGCTATAACTAAAATTCATTTTATCTCACCGCTTATTAAATTTTTGTATCATATAATAGATTGATTAATTATTTTTACAGGATCAAATTATTACGTGAGAATTTTATCTACCATTGATAAAGAGCTACTTAAACCGAGTTCTAGTGTAGCCCTTCACAAACATAGCAATGCATTAGTAGATGTCTTGCCTCCTGAAGCTGATTCTAGTATTACCATTTTGCAAGCAGGTTAAACAACCTTAATTTAATTAATATAAACATTATAAAATATTTTTCTGTTTTATTATAATAAAAAGCAGAACCATTAAGACTACTTTCTCATTATATTTTAAAACCAGGGCTTTGAACCTGGAGCTGTGAACCCGATTCAGTTACTATTTTTGTGAACTCATCGATTTTCAAACTGTCAAGTTAACCCAAGCCAAAAATTTTATAAAACTGGGTTCTGGGTAATTATTTTAATTAATTCGAGCTAAATTAGCATATTAATTCCTGTAATCCTTGCATTTGTCTTAAAATATATTGACTTGCACATATTTATATTATCAAAAAAATAGGGTTTTAATAAACATTTAAAAATATCCATTTTTATGAAATTTGATTGTCATTTCTTAATTCAAAATCCGATTCTTTTTTTTGCTGAACAGGCCATGATTAAATAGGGTTCTAAATTTTATTCAGATCATTACCTATAAAATGCATAACCCTTATTATGAAAGTGGAATTAACTAAAAAAATATTGTATAATATATAGTAAATACTTGATTTAAATAATAATATTTTTGAATGGAAATTAGAATTTAGAAAGTGTTACATAAAAATTTGGCAAGAAAAATTAAACTTAATTCCGGTTTTATATATCCATTATGTGATTGCGGTTCATTATGGTACGATTGTGAGCCCTGATATAAAGTGTATTTGTCTAAATTGACCATTATTATGTGCGACCGAATTATTTGCTTAAATCGAATTTAATTGGCATCCTTATATTTTCAATTTTTTTATAAAATATTTACTTTATAAAATATTAATGATAATTACTATTTTATATATATATATTCTCTGTGCAGCACTCTTCTTTTAAATTTATACTAGTAGGATTACAACACAGGACCCTATATGTAAAAATTTACCTTTTCCCATCTTTTTAAAGTCACCCCTCTAGATCTGCAATGACCTGACCCTTCTTATCGATAAACAGGAAGGATGTTCTTCAGTTCACTAGGGTTATTTATTGTGGAAGCATCACGTTATCTGGTGTTGAATACGATATTAAGGGTCATCACTGGCTTAGAAAGGTGACAGGGGAAAAAGCCAAAGGTCTCCTATCTTACACTTTCAGTCTGTGTGTGAATGTGAAAATTTTACTGGAACTAGCAAAACATTTTTTTTAAAAATGGTATTCCATGAATGTATTCGATTTTTCATTTTTATGTATATTTTTTATTTACCAAATAGGATACTTTATATGTAGAAGCATAATCACTGATCCTTTTTTTTAATTCGTAAGATAACATTGACAAGAGAATTAGTATTTATATTAGGTTATATACTGAATGACGATTTAATCATCTTAAATAGAACGATATATTAAATACTAGAAGATAACCCATCAAAAATGATGGGGAATGAGAATTTTCTTCTTACTTTTATGATAGTTGTTACCTCTTATTTGAAAATAATATCCAATTATTATTCTTTTAATCCTTCCTCCCCCCCCCCCTTCATGCCAGGTTTAATCCATTAAAACTAAGTGTAAATACTATGGTTTGGTAAAATTAAATTTAAAGCTTTTACTTGATAATACCAATATTATTTGATAAATATTACTGATCATTTATACCTAATATTTAATATTAAAAAAATTCCCAGGCAAAGTACAAAGCCATAATAATTTTGAATTTTCCAAGCCCAGTGAATATAATAATTTTGGTAGTTGAGAACTGAAATAAAATATTTAAATAAGCATAATGTTAAAAATACAATCAAAATCAGATTTTCATTGGCCTAGGTTTTTTGATCAAGCCAAGCCCAGGCCTGCATAAAATTTTTATAGGCCAATGTCTGACTCATAGTTAATAATAAAAAAAATTCTCAAGCATTCTAGCTCATAATATTTTTGAAAATTTTCCCCAAGCCCAGCCTAATATAATTTATAAAAATATTTTTCAAACCCAGCCCAACCTATAAAAATTTTATAAAAAGAATTTTCCCAAGCCTGGCCAACCCATAGTAATTTTCAAAATTTTTTCCCAACCCGGGAGATAGATAAATCTCTAAAAACCATATCTATTTTTTTACCCCTACTTCAGACAAAGGCCAACCCATTAAGACTGAGAATGAATACTATTTTTGAATAAAAATATATAAATTAGCTTTTACCTGAGGGTCATATATATATTCTGTGTTAAATATTACACCTATGCTTAATATTAAAAAAATTCACAAGCCAGGTCATCACACTTGGGAAAATTTTCTCAAAAAGACCATAATAATTTTGATAGTTGAGAACTGAAATAAAATATATAAAAAGTCACAATGCATTTAAAAGTACAATCAGAATATGAAAGTTGCATGGTCCTTGGTTTTTGATCAGACCTGGACTCCAAAGAAATTTTCAGGCTAATTTCTAACCCATATTTAAAATTAAAAAACTTATAGGAATCTAAGACTATATTAATTTTAGAAAATGTTTCCCAAGCTACTTCCAAGCCCATATTAATTGTGAAAATTATTTCCCAAACCCAGGAAAACTCAGATTAATTTATTTTTTCCTTGGATCCAGAAGAATAGGTGTGATGTAGTGGTTTATAAGAATTAAATCTGTCTAATATGTATTTATTTTTTTTGCCATTTATATTATTGGGAAAATTTTTCAAAATTAGGATCAAATGAAGGGGAAATATCTGATTTACCTATCATTCTACTGGTTAGCTCCTAGTATTTATATGAAAATCATGAATACATATTAACCCTTTAGGTTCTCTGATAAAATTAATATGATGCAACACGATATTTAGTAATTTTTTTATTGATTCATGTATAGTATAATATAAAACCCACAAAAAATTTTTTTTAAATTTAAAATGGCGGCTCTCTCTGGTCTCTGGTGGTTTCAAATTCATTTTATAGACACCTTATGAAAACTTTCGAAACAGTTTCTATTTTTATTTAGACTTAGTGGTACGTTGCATGATTTGCACGAACACTTTGTTCTTCTGGGATTTAACTTTGTACTACAGTGGGCACACCTTCTGGAGGTTCCTGTCTGAGGTTGATGAGCTGAGTTTTTTAGTCTAATTTCTGGAAGGATATAAGGCTTATTATTTTTTCTTTGCATTGATATATAATTATTATCATTCTCAATATTATCATCCCTATCAACATTTTTGCAGTGTGCCAATTCGCTAGCAATTATTTGTCTTCGGAATTCTTTCAATGAGAGTTTATTATCTGTAAGAATATTGTAGATTATGAATGAATTGATAATTGCCGCATCAATCAGCCAAAAGAATATTGGCAGCCATAATTTTCGCCACTTTCGCGAGATTTCATATAAAGACTTTAAATGGTCGAAATGGTCAACAGACCCCATAAATTTATTATATATCTTTATCATCATTGGACATTTTACGTCAAATACTTCCCCTTTTTTATTTTTCCTCTTCAAAGTATCCACTGATCTCGGATCAAAATATTTGGACATTATAAATACATCCCGATTATCTCACCATTTAATTATACTTATCGTATTTTTGTCACTTCTCCAGTCAAACTCACCTCTTGTTAATTTTGTTTCCATATTCTTTATGGGCAAATATCTCCTATTTTTGTTTAATGTTCCGGTAGCATATATATTTTTCCTTTTTATGAATCTGATAATAGAGTATAACTCGTAAAATAATTATCGAAAAATTATTTATGATTTTGAAGTCCTTCGCAAAACTTTGTTACAATATTATATACTAGATTACTTTCAACCTCTTTATTTTTCCCAATATAGATATTAAAATCATTCATATATCCTGAATTATCACACCTCATCCATACCTAAAAATATAGTTTAGTCGAAATAAATAATGACAAAATTCACATATTACCTTGAAACCGCGTTTAGTAGGTTTCTTAGGCATATATTGCCTAAATCCTATACGGCCTTTGAACCTAATCATTACTTCGTCAATTGCTTGATATTCCGAGGGAAGAAAATATTTCAAGCAAGAGGAACGGATATTATCAATGAATGGTCTTATCTTGTATAATTTATCATAATTTTAATCATTTCTTGGTGGTTCTAAGATATTGTCATTTATATGGATGTGGGATGAAACGAAATTGTCATGGAATTCTGGTTTAGAACTCCAATAATCTTTGTAATTTGCCATATTTTTAATTCCAAAAAATATATGAAGACATAAAAATTTTCTTATTTCTGTAGGAGCTGTTGGTTGATATTTAATATTTTTTTGTTGGGCATATAAATTGGTATTGAATGTAATTGTATTTATTAATGAATCATTAATAAATTTTATATATATATCAGATGGATACAATGGGTCCTTTTTTAGGGATGATATTGGACCTGATATTTTATCAAATTCTAATACTGGTTCTGAAAAATATTTTTTGCACCAGATAGGATTATTATGGTTTGTACCAGATTGATCATTCATAACTTGTCCCGACTTGTCATCAATTTCGATTTGATAAATCTGATTCTTAGTCATCACTTTCACTATCAATTTGGTAACGTGTATCAGATTCATAATCATCTTCGGTATCAGTGGATGAGTATAACGAAGAATCTTCAGATGGAATATCCAGATAATCATCCATATAACAAGCTAAAATTATTGCTAAATGAATTTGCAAAATTTATCAATTATTTTAAAAATATTGTTGTAAAGTGGCAATGGTTAGTTTAATATACCACATTAAAGAGATCAAAATAATATATAAATATTATTTATTTGAGGAAAAATAAATATTAGAAAGATAGATAATATAGTGAGGAATATATATATTTAAAAAATATTTGATGAATATACTTACTTATAATAAAATTAAAACGTATTTTGAAATAAAAGCGCGAAAAAAAATATTAAAAAATAACTCCTCCACAAACATATGAAAAAGAATATCTTTTAATATATATTCGTGGTGGTTTCATTTTATATGATTAACTCCTTTAGTAGATATTAAGGTCGTAAGGTGGTTTTATATTTGCA